ACTAACATTTTAAGCTAAGTGGTGTGGATAGTCTTCAAAATGCCTTTGGATTTCCCCTTACCCAAAAATTTAGGGAAAGCTTCCTTTCATTTTCAGCTACTGGAATTAAACAATAAGGTCAAAATCTTGTTATCTCCTTAGGAATTCCTTTTAGCAGTATGGACACAATTATAGAAGGTGGATCTAAAATTTTGATTTTCCCTAAATTGCTGGACAAATGAAGGCAGAATCTAATCACACAGCTGGCTTTAGATGCAAACATTTGCAATATCTTGGTGTRGTAGCATTTGGTTAGGATCACCTATAAAACAAACACAAAAATACCCCAAAAATACAAAATTTTACAACATATATCTCTATATTGGTGGATTTTGCACAGAAAAACAAATCTTCACTTAAAAAGTGAAATGCAAATTTTAAAATTTCTGCTGTGTCTTTTCTGTCAGAGAGTCACCCTTGCAAGTTCCTGGCAGCAAKTAAAATACAGAAAGGGAGACACTTGCCAACTTTTGTATGTAGTTGCTTTCCCACAGATCATCCTGAGTCTGCAGAGATGCAGATGGAGTCTTCAAATTTAAATGAAAGAAAATCTGTGTGTGATGTTCAGCATGCAGTGTGGTCTGCTCTAGCTGCAGGAGGTTTCTTGCAAAAATCAGTATGGTGTTTTCTCTTAGGCAGAGTTTTGTTTGTGTATCCTGTATCATCARTCCTGTCAGTCTGAGCGAAGACTGTTGGGTCTTTACTGCTCTCCCTACTGCACTGCGTTCGCTGTGGGGACTGTCATTGCAAGAATACCTCTTGCAGCCTGGCAAGGAAATGAGCAGTCATGCCATCTAGTTATGACAACTGCCTCCAATTATGCAAATTATGCATAATTATCCCTAGTTTCACAGAAAGTGTTGTCTGGTGAACCCCAAGGTTTTGGATGCAAGACGCTCTCGCCATCAGTAGTGAAAGGCATTTCAAGTTATTCATGTGGGAAAGCTGGCGTAAGGAAAGGTCTTGATTTGTTACGTTCAATATTGCTTTTGATTTTTAAACTTAAATAAAGGAAGAAAGCGAGCCATGGAAAATATGTGTTTGAAACATCGGTTACCTACTCACAGCGTACTTTAGATTTGTTAAAAAATTTGCAAACCTTTTGATGAGTTTTGTCGACTTTCCAGATGGCGTTGTAGAAATGACTGTAATATTGCCATTTGCTGTAAAAACTTCCTCCAGCTCTATTAACAAGTTTCCCATGATGTAATTAGAAAGAAGGTGCAGTGTTTTCTTTGGCACCTGTGGATAAAATTCTGTGCATACTTATACTGGTATAAACCCAGGGCAACTCAGTTCATTTAATTGAAGTTATTCTGGATTTAGTTCATGTARAATTTGGCTATACCTTTATCTATAGCTGGATATCTGCCTTGAGGAGCAAATATAACAAAGGCAGTACATTTTCTTTAGACTTCGTATAGGAAGATMCTGTTCTCAGTATCAGGGGAATTGCTACTATTCTGACCAAGGTAAATTGTGTAAGAGCTTTTAGGTCCTCATTCAGCCAAGTTTTCAGATGTGTCTGTAACTTGCTTGAATAAACTGAAGCATATGTAAGTGACCGTGTATATGAGTGCAAGTAACTCTGTTCAGTCAATGCCCTCAGGCCTCTCCTCTACGCTTCTTCCTTTCTGTTCATCGGTCTGCAACAAGGTGCATGATAGAGAACCTTTTTGGAGTCTGCTGCAGGATTTCTATCCAAAAAAGAGAGAAATTTCTCATTTCTCTTCTCATTTAAACCAATAGAAGTCTGTGGTAGTATCAAGCTTGCAGCTAGCATGAGTTTCACTATGCCTCTGGTATAGGTTGATGACTGTGGATTGGAGTTTGGAGACTGTACATCATGTCTCATCTAAAGAAGCCTGTACACAAACAGCCTTTGCATAAGGCACTGTTGCCTTTTTTTTTTTCTTTTCTTTTTTTTTCTAGATAAATAACAAACAGAAAGAAGGGGGGATATAAGGGGAAAAAATTAAGTTTTAATAGAAACACATTTCATCCTTTGTTTTCCGCTTGCCATAAAACATTAACATAGTAAACAGATTGATCTTTGCTCTTATATTCTTTAATAACATACAGTATTTTGAGCTTTCTCGTGGCTAGGTATGATTAAACCATGCTGTGTTGCTGGTAGCATTCAAACCTCTATTGTCACAATTCTTTGACACCAAACAACTATCTTTTTTTTTAAATAAGATTGTTTGTAAGCAATTTCTATTCATAGATACCTTTGTTAAAAGGTTGTCCTGTGCTTTTCTGTTGTTGTTTTTGTTTTTTTAGGTCCCCATACAATAGTGGTAATGGAGTTTTCTGACCCAGACTGCTATTTCCTGGGACATAGTTCAAAGTCCATGCATTTCTGTGGTCAACCCCTGCTTTGTGCCATATATTACCTCTCTGAATGCCACACCCCCCACATGGGTGAAAATTTTATACGGTGCTCTGAAATATTATATTCTAGAAAACTTGTCCAATTGTAGGACTGTTACAATGAAGAACAGCTGAAATAGCTATTTGAAATAGAGGTGTGTGGGTGTGTTTTGTTATTTTCTTAAAAGGAAAGTGTCGCTTTGGTCCACTTTTCAGTGTGGTTGGTGTTATAATAAACTTTTTCTTTCTTTTTTAAACGCAGTGTAGTTCACAATAATTTAAAATACTCTATAGACATTTAAACATTATACATTTAATATTGTCCATATAGACATTATTGTAATAGACAATATGCCCAATATTGTCTATTAATATTGTCTATGTAGACATGTAAACGATATACAATAATATAACTTAATTGGATTCCTCAATTGTACTTAACAAATACTATTCTAATATATTTACAGTATCTAGTACCATAGACTGTGCATTACTGTGCTTGGGAGCATTATTCGCTTCCTGTCAAGAATGAAGTACAGTATATCACTATTATTCAACAACAGTACCCAAGAATCCAAGCAACTTGGATTATATGAATTATATGAAAATTATGTGAAGAGACTCAAGCATTTTGGAGGGGCACTGTTGGTTTTTCTGGAGTTGCACTCAAGGCAGAGTCCAAACTTGTAGCTGGTATTTAGAAACCAACAGCAGAAAAACAAACAAACAAGAGTCCTTCAGTTTGGGGTTGCTCCATGGGAGACTCATTACAGGAGCCTGATTTTCAGAGGGTGAGTGCTTGCTGTCAGGAAGGCAGGTCCTCATCAGCGTTGCAACYGAGGTCCCTACATCTTTTGTTACTTTTGCTAATACAGGCCCAGACATTAGGGAAATTATCCTAGGTTATTCACATGCTCAGCATGGGGACATTTGGAGCTGTAGATCTACCAGCTCCGTGCCCCAAGAGCACTCTGGTGTGGCAAGTGCTTCCATATCATATAGGGAGGCCCCGTGGCTGTGCAAGCTCTTCTTAAAAGAAATAAAATGAAACAAATCTAGAAATGCAGATAGGCAGACATTAGGAAACTTTTAATTCGAGTTTTCTGAAAGCCAGTTAGAGATCCTACCTACAAGCATGTGTTGTACAACATTAAATGCGTTTTATTGTAAGTGGGTGTATCTGGTTCTTGGGGTTAATAGCACTAGATGCTACAGTAGTAAAATGCTGGAGGATTTTTTTTAATCCTTCTTAAGGAAAGAGTGTGTGAAATATAATTGAATGCTGCTTTCCATATATGCATGTATTTATTGGGGATATGTTATTGCCAACTGCACAGTAACAATGACATAAATTAACTGAAATATTAGCTTTCTTATGGTCATGAAGCTGTCACAGCTCACAGGCTGCAGCAACCTGGAGTCCAGCTATTGCATTTTTGTCGTATTCCCAGTCCAGATTGATGATAGGTATTAAAACTATTGGCAATAATTAATAAGATTTAACTGTCCAAAGGGGAAATGTAACTCTCGGAAGACCCTGCCAGTGCATTTGACTGCAAAGCAAAACCTTTGATATTTAATGAACCACGTCTTTGTGTCTTAAAACACACCACAGTGAGCGGAGGGTATGTGCTCCACGTCTTGAGCCTGAATYTACAGGAGTCATTCTTATTCAGGAGGCAAGCGGGAAAAGTCTTTATCAAGTATTTGTAACCACAGTTTTGCATGATCTTTTTTTTTGCTCAGTTCTGATAATTGCTTAAGGTCTACAGTAATTAAACTCTCTATAGTGGAGTGACAACAGATCAGTAGCATTGAAGAACTTAGGGAGAACCAAATACAAAAATCATAAAGTCAGAGTTCCAATAAGTTTACATTTAGTACAGAATTAAGACATAGCTACCCGTTAGTGCTTAGAATTTTTTGATACTATTAAAATCATAAATAATTATTTTTAATGTTCATTCAAAGAGTTCCAGTGTCACTGGCAGCTGATGTAATTTTGTGAACTTTTTTTTTTTTTCAAACTGATAGTGGAGTATTTCCACCACAGATTTTGTCTCCCTATCAGTTGTAGTTTTCTCTCTACCTGTTTGGTAAAAAATGTAGTTTTTTGCGTTGACTGCTGTGTTGCAGTCAATGAAGATTTCATTTCCTTAAAAAAAAAAGTCGTTATTTGCACAGGGCTTGGGCTTTTGTTGTTGATGTTGTTAAATATGAGATTGTCTCTTTTTCTTTCAAATTTTGTGGGAGCTGCAGTGCAGTCAGCTTCTCTGATATGTATAATTTAAATGCTTACTAGGAGAACTCTACAACACCCAAGCTGTATTAAAAAAAAAAAAAAAAAAGAGAGAGAAAGGTTCGTGTAGTTGCCAAAATCGCCTTAATCTTGTTGCCCTTATTTCCAAAGCAGTTTACAACAGCTAGCCAGCCAAAATGCACCATCCTTAGAAGTGTAAGCAGTGGGGAGGGATTGGTTTATTTATTTATTTTTTTTTCCCAAAGAAGATGAGATGTGCAAAATGACGCTGTAGTCGTTTGTTGTACTCCACTTTCTCCACCCATGGCGAGCCGCTCTGTTCGTGCGAGCACRATGCCGTTATTTGCAGGTGAACACCTCTGTCCGCTCGCTACACGTGTTGCACTTCACAAAGCAGCACCAGTGGAATTTGCAATTGCATTGCCACACTTTGGTGTACTGGTGGGTGTTGTAGCCTCTTCCACAGCACATCATGTCACAGCCGTCCGCGTTGGGAGACGTGCGGTTGCAGAGCCGTCCCTGGGTGCCGACACTGCCCGTGGAAGCATCTTCCTCGCAGTAGTTGGGTGACTTTTCAATATACACCAAATCTGTCTCCATTGGTTTCTGATAGCTTTTAATCTGCTTGATCTTCAGGAAAGTTGGCTGTCTTAGTCTACTGGCTCGCACCACTTCCACTTGCACTGCAGCATTATATTTCTCTTTCAAAATATATCCAATCTCTCTGAATTTGGGAAGTGTGGTCCAGCAAGTCTTAGTAGTGCAGGAACCTGAAACTCCATGGCACTTGCACTCCAATTTCATTCTCTCCTCGAGAACCTACATATTCAGACATTTGAATATGGTTACTGGATGAAAATGATATTGCAAGATAAAATCTCAATTGGTTAGTTTATATTAACCCTAGTTCATATTAACCGCAGTTGAAATTTTTCAAATGTGTGCTTAGAAATATTTGATTTGATCCCAGCAAAATGGTCATAACACTTTTTGTTTTACACGATACTTTACATGATCAGATGATACATGATTTACATGTTTTACATGATACTTTACATGATCAGAAATAAAACGTTCTACCATTGTATAAGAAAACACTCGTATTCCGTTTGGAAATAATGGAAAAGATTTACTTAAATTTCAAAAGATGTGGTTTTAGAAACACAGTAATTCACGGGACTCCAGTGATTTAAAATGATTTTCAAACCACTTCTATTTTGAAAATAGAAAAAAAAAAAAAGATTCAGAGTATTTAAGCTTAATTCCTTTAAGTAATGTTGATTTTTTTTAATGGCTAAAAGATTTGACCAGTATTAACTTTCACCTATGTTGCATGGCTTCACAGTCATTGTAAAATAAAAACTTTCAGCTGTACCAGCAGTATGAATAGTTATACATCTATTAACTGTTTAATCCCAGGACAAACCACTGCCTTTAAGAGCAGGGCTTTTGCAGTAAATGAAGCAAATACATAGCCATAGATACAGATTTTTGGCACCAGCATCCCGATGATGCAACATCAGAGGAAATAAAATATTATGGTGTGAGCTGGAGGAGTAATTGCCCCAAAGAAGCTAATCTGTGTTTTCCTGCCCTTGTGCTACCACTTGAGTCAGACAGCCTGCCATTGCACCCAGAATCATCATTAGCTTGTGAAAGGCAGAAAAGCAAAGCAGACTGATCTTTCTGCTTTGCAACGGGATGCTAGCGAAGAAATATGAGCCCCCGAGCTTGTCTTGAAGCATTACTGATGCTGCAGGCCATCTCCTGTGGTGGTTTCATTGCGAATCCCAGAACATGACTGAAATGGGCAAGGGATAAAAGGGCAGAAATCTGAGTACAATGGCATAATGAAGCAGAAGGGAAGTAAAAAATGCTTACTGCTTAAGAAACTGGCCTTAAAATAAAAGCTGTGCAGCTTTGGTTATCCCTGCAAATAGAGGGCACCCTCCTGAGTTGTTCGAGTTTCACTTAAATTGTATGTTTTGTTTTTTCCCCAAATTTCTGGGGTTTCAATATTAAAGAGGATATTTTGCTTTGACTCTCTCTTGCCAACATACAGTAGCAAGTATAAGACAGCTGAGCATCCAGTTCAAAAATACCTTAGATTTTCTTGGACTGCATGCTGTCCCTAAATCAAGATGGAGTGTTTTTGGTATTCAGAGGCAGAAAAAAGGCAATTCACAGGAAGGTTTACTGGCTGTAARGAAGCTCTTAGTGATGCAACTACTCTGAAAAGAAAATCAAAGGGGGCTACAAACTGCTTTCCTTGGACACTGGGAAGGCCACTGCTCTCTAAAGGGCTGAATCACCTTTCTGACTTCCTCATGGAAAGATGRGAAGGCAGAGCTGGCAGCATTTCACCAGCCATTAGTAGTGTGAGACTGCATGAAATGTTCTGGGATCTTTTAAGGCTCCACTCTCTCTGCTACATGTCTGTGCCGGAAGATGTTACTGGTCGAAGACTCCAAACAAGGTTCCAAACCTGTTCCAGAAATCTGTGTGAAAATAGTCTGCTGGTATTTAGGTGTGTGTGAATGCATAAAAAAAATTAAATGCTTACAAGCATTGCTTGCTAACTCTAAAGCATGGTTTCCTAAACCAGACTGTTTCTACAGCCCTCTCTTAATCGCTAGCCAACATGCAGTTTTGCTGCAAAACTTGCAGCAAAAAAGTGAATGGAGGCAGCCTTTTGTACACCTTCCCCAGAGAGCACCACAGGATGCAAGGGCTCCCTGAAAAGTGCTAGCAATGAGGCCAGCCTTGTCGTCACACCTAAGTTCATCTTTCCCCTTTTTTTTTAACTAGAAAAAAAAAAGTTGTGAAGAGCAGGTTTACGGGCTTAGTAAGTGTGTTGTCAGGTCCTGGGTGTGTTTGTAATGTCTATTTTTCAGATGGAAAGGGCCAAGTCAGCAACTTGCTGCAAGAGCTTGCAAGATTCGAATTCTTGGGCAGGCTCAGCACCCTGGACATTGTTCCAAGGAGCCTCAGGATCTCTTCTTGATGAGCTTCCTTTCCGCTAGAAAAACTTGTGTTGTTCCCAAAAGCAAAGGTATTGCCCCTTGCAGTGTCCTAGCTGATACTTTTATACATGTATGTTTAGCTATTCATGTGCAGATACGTAGACTTGCTCAGGCAAACGTATTTGGTTGATATGCATAGCCTTATACACTCTAAAGTACAATCTCCAGCAACTTTATCTGCCTCAATTTCTTTTTTTGTTTATTTTCTGAAAGTCTAGTTTCATGTTTGATTTTACTGTATAGATGCGGAAATCTGATTTCTTTGCTGTATGCTTTGAAATGTTCCTTATGTTTATGATCATGGAAAAACTTAAAAATACAAGCCCTACAGGCTCAAAATAGAAAGGAAAAAAAAAAAAGAATTCAAAATGTATTAATTCATGATACTGAAGCCAATGTCACAGTTCAAAAAAAATTTTTTTAGAGCTTTCTCTCATGATTTTGGAATGCTTGGGGTTACAACACTGAGTGCAGGCCCAATCATCAGGTAGTTAAATTCCTAAATGCTATAATTTGTGTGCCCACAGTCAGCTGTGGGTATAAAATTGTGCCCAAAAACTTGGAGGTCAGGGAACAGAAGGCCCGAACTAAGCAGATTCAAAGTAAGATGTTTTCTGTTTCCCCACAGATGCAGCTGAACACTCTTTTCCAGTGCCCTCCAGCTTTCTAGGAGGTGCCCTCCTGCTTTCTTTGAAGCTCTTGAGATGTCACACAGAGATCCCTGATGGCACAGTCCGAGGTTACGCTGCTGTCTGGTAGCTGACCATTTACACAGTAAGTATCACCTTATTCCTTGAGTATTTCAGGGAGTTTTCGCACTTGCAAGCGAGAGACCTCTAAGCCTGGCCAAGGTTGTAGAAGTTGACCCTGTACACTTAATATGTAAATGAAGACTAACTGGCATTTCCTTCCTAACTGTCCTCAGCAAAATGCCCTTCAAAGCTTTGTCCCTGAGCCTTAGCCTAATTTACTCAAATCTAATACRTTATCCCAGGTTGGGTTCCTGATTAAAGACGGAAAACCATTAGCTCGTGTGACCCACTCTTGTAGCAGTTTCACTTGTCATATGTCAGTACTTTGTATCTCATCTTGAATAGTTTACAGCAAGAGCTACTTCCCAAAGCAAATTCCTATCACTGTGCTGCACTGCTTCAGACTAGCGATAGGAACATTCTTTAGGTCTATTTTCCGCATACAGGCCTACTCCCACTCCAGTATGATCTTGCCAAGCAAAATTTTCTTACTACTGCTGCTACTTTGTTAAATGAATTATGAAATACAGTGTTCAAGCTTTTCTATTCCACGTATTTTTATACCTATATAAATCATACACTGAAAATGCAATCATGATGGTTTGACTCTCATGACTGGGGGTCATCCGCTGCCAGTAAAGTAGAAAAACCTTGCAAAGACTGATTAAAGCAAAAAGATATGCACAAAAAGAAATCCATTTTTCAAGTTCCATATCTAGACCCAACTGCATAATATCAGATACAGTTTCTGTACTTATTAAAAATCCTATCTGGATAGAATATGTAAAAACAATAGTAACACTTTGTGTGTGTTTGTTTTGGCTTGACTTTTCTGGTTTGTGTTTTCCTTAGTGGAAATGCACATTTTTGGACCAGATGTTGAATGTAACAAAATCCATATTACTTTTTGACTGCAGTATCACAAAGAAATAGAAAACTTCAAGAGTTTTCCCCCATCAAACACGCTGGTGATCAACTTTTGCCTTGAGTAATCCCAATACCAAGAGAGATGGATTCTGGTGTTAGGATATCATCATTGCCTTTAATACTCAAGCATCTGTAGCCATGAGAGCCTCTGGCTTATAGCTTGTACGTGGCCACTGTCTAACTTTAGTACAGCCTAGGGTGCAGCACTACTGTCAAAATGCTGATCTCAAAGACCCATCTGGGAAATAAAACTGGGTTTTGTTTGCTTATTTTTTTGGAGTCTTGAATAACTACGGGTTCTAATATTAGTAGGATGTAACTCTACTCTTCTAATACAAATATCATTAGAATATTCTTCATTAATAGCAAATCAGAGAACCCAAAATAGAAGAGTTCATGTCACATCTCATCGGCCTGTGAAGTACCCGGCCCCGTGAAGGAAAGACTAGTACTCACTGTGAACTAGGCACCGAGCCAGCAAGAGAGGAATAAGGATGCTTCAGATATGTATTTTTTTCTCTTGCACAACCCAGTTCAGAAGCCAATCTATCTGGCATCAAAATAGTACTTATACTTTGCAGGATGGGAGATGAAGACTGTGTTTACTGCTCTCGTGTCACACCCCTGTTTTTCTCACTCTTTAGTCTGATGGGAGCGTGGAGCCACCTCTTTGCAGCAGGTCCAGATCCAGCCGCAAAGCCCGTGACAGGCCGGACTCCAGCAGGACTGAGGAGCCTGAACTCAGTTGCTCCTGCCCTTCACCAGCCTCTCAAGGTAAGGCACCTACTGCAACAGTATCCCCACTGAATGCATGTAAAACATGGAAGGTGGCTCTCTCTTCACCCAAATTCCCCCTCTTGGCTAGCAGGAAAATACACCTTGGATTTTGGGACCTGCTGCACATCAGGTGAATGTCATTACTGTTAGTAGTGTTAAGAGGACGGACTAGAGAGCCTTACCAAGCAATGCCTCTTCCCTACCTTCTACAATAGAGATAATGGTTTCTAAAACGTTGCATTAATTTTGAGCAATAAATTGCTGCAATTGGCCAAAACCTTCTGCACTTTATTTTTTTCTTTCAGTGAAATGTTAAAAACAAAAATCTGGAGAAGCACCC